AACTCCGTCTCAAAAAAAAAAAAAAAAAAAAAAAAAAGAATGGGCTGGAGGAGCAGCGCCTGCAGCGCCTGCAGTGTTGCCCAGCACTCTCGGTACAGTTAATGGAGCTGGCCATGTTGCAAGTGTTTTCACGGGGAGATGCCAAGTGGCTGGGGGTGGGGTGCCATGCCGGAGGAGGGGTAGGGATAGACAGGGCTCACAGTCTCTATCTTTCTTCTCTGCCTCTAGGCTTCTTTGTCTTACCTCATCCCCTTTTTTTGAGACAGGGTTTTGCTCTGTAGTCCAGGTTGACCTTGAACTCATAGAGATCCTCCTGCATCAGCCTCCCAAGTGCTAGGATTAAATGTGTGCCACCCCACCTGGATCCTGCCATTTTCTCACTCATCTCCATCTCTGTCTCTATGTCTTTCTGGAAATGAGATTTGAAGCTGCATATACTGGGCCCTCCTTTCATCACTTATGAGCTGTGTTGTCTTGGGCAAATTACTTCCCCTCTCTGATCCCCAACCACCTCCTCTGGAAAATGGAGGTAATATGCCCACTACAGGACTATTACAAAGAGTGAGCTGCTGTAAAATTCCAGTATATGGCAGCCATTATTTTATGGGTGTGTGTGTGTCCTTTTCTTTCTTTCTTTTTTTTTTTTTTTTTTTTTTTGAGACAGGCTTTCGCTGTGTAGTTCAGGCTGGCCTGGAACTCACTTTGTATCCCAGGTTGGCCTCAGCCTCCCAGCAATCCCCCTGCCTCAGTTTTCCGAGTGCCAGCCATTATTACTCTATTAGTTCTGCTGATCTGCGGCTGTCTCTTTTAGTCTCTATGTTTTCCTCTGTCTTTCTGACTTTTTTTCTGTTTGTCTTTCTCTCTGTCCTTTTTTCTGGCTGTTGGTCTCCATATTTAGGCCTTCATTTGGCATAAGAGCTTCATGAAGCCAGGATAACAGCTGCCTGTCACCAAAGTCCCCAGCGTTGCCAGGGCACAGCCTGGTACCCAGCACATGGGGAAGACAGCAGTGACTGGGACAGCCCCAGCCCAGCTCTCTGGGGCTCAGAGTCCAAGAAAGGGAAGAACTTTTTGCCGAGAGGATGGGTAAGCGGGCTTGGAAGATGACCAAAGACAGGCAGCACACCTGGGCATGGCACTGCACGTTGGTAATCTCAGCACTCTGGGAGGCTGAGGCAGGAGGATCGCCATGAGCTAGAAGCCAGCCTGAACTACACAGCAAAACTCCGTCTCAAAAAAAAAAAAAAAAAAAAAAATGGAGACAATTTGGATAAAATTCGAGGAGAAAGGTTGGGAGAGCTAAGGAGAGTCTGAGGAGTCAGGAAGGCAGGGAGACAAGGCTGGGAAGCTCAGCAAAAGCCTGGACCGTAGTGGAGGGGAACTTGTGCTTCCCCTGAGGGCACTGGGGAGCCGTGGCTGGTTCGGAGCACGGGAGGGACAAGATGAGGTTTGGGCTTTAGCACGCGCTGGATGGGAGTGGGAGTAGAAGATGGAACCCAACCCGAGAAGCCTGTGGGAAAACATCAAGGTCAGCTTGCTGTGCCACCACCAGGGGGCAGCAGGGGACACCACAGGACTGACTCAGCGCTGTCCTGTCGTGGGGTATGTGCGCCCAGGATTTGGAGGTGCAGAGGTGGAGCTGCCTGGAGAACCCCAGCCGGAGCCCCTCTGCTTTCTGGGCCCCCCATCCTGGCCTCTGGGTCCCTGGAACCCCCCCACACCTCACCCAGCTCCAGTTATGTCAACATCGCCTGCTGCTTGTGGCCAGGACAATATTTGCCCTCAGCATCTGGGGCGGTTGCTATGGAGACGTGTACCTCTCTCTCCCCCCCCAAGTCCCAGAAGAGGCCGAAAGGAGCCAAGACTCACATTGAGCTACATCCCCAGCCCATTTTTATTTCTTATTTTCAGACAGGGTCTTGCTAAATCCCTAAATTGCCCAGGTTGGGCTCAAACTTGAAATCCTCCTGCCTCAGCCTCCCTTAGTGCTGGAATCCTGGGTGTGTGCCTCCACGCCCAATCTGTTTCTTAGATCTTGTTTCTTTGGGTCACTTTCTCTGTCCTTCACCCTCTCTGGGTCCCTGTGTCTGTGTTTCTGCCTCTCCGAGCCTCTCTCTCTTTGGATCCCTGTATTTTTTGTTTGTCTTTCCAGGTTCCTGTCTCTAGACAGCTGTCTCTTCTGTCTCTGGGCTCCGGTGTCACTGTGTGTTACAGTCCCTTCGGTTTGTCTCCAGGTCTCTGTCTCCATTGCCGTTTATTGCTGGCCGTGTCTTCCTCTGGCCGTCTCTGTCTCTCCGTCTTTGCGCATGCGTCTCTCTCAGGGTCGCTGGCTTTCAGGCCTCCTTCCCCGCAGTCCTGAATCTCAGGGGGCCAGCACCGCCTCCCAGTTCTGGCCTCAGTCCCCACGGGGCGCCCCCTTTCCCCATATCTCTCTGCCTCATTTCTCCTGCGCCATCTGCCCGCGCCCCAGGCCCCTGCAGCTCCCCGCAGGCGCTGCTCAGCCAGGCGGCCCCATGGGGCAGACACAGCTCTCAGCCTCCATCCCGCTGCTCAGCGCTGGGGACAGAGGGCGAGTGACCAGAGCCAGGAGCCCCAGGCCTCGGGACAATGGAGAGCGACTCAGACAGACAGACAGACAGATAGACACCCGGAGAGAAGATGGGGAGGAGGGGAGAGAAAGGAGACAGCTTCTAAAGGCTGGCAAGAGGGGACCGGGCGGAGGGGGGCACAGAAAGGAGGGCGGGACAGAATGAGACAGGCAGCCGGGAAGAGAAGGGGCTGGCACAGGGAGAGAAGGTGATGCGTTATCAGACGGGGTTCACAGCAGAGGAGGAGGCAGCATCAGGACCGCGGAAAGGAGCGGCTGAGGGAGGAAAGGCTGGGGCCGGGGAGAGGCCTTGAGAGGCAGGAGCAGCAGCGTGGGGACCCGGGTCCCCTGGGCTGCAGGGCTGTGACACACGGCTGCCTGCCAGAAAGGCACCAGGCTCCGGTCTGCCGGAAGTTTCCTGAAACCCTGAGGATGGGGGCAGAGGGCGAGTGCCTGGCTGAGCAGCGCCTGCAGGGAGCACCAGGGGCCTGCCTCCCAGAGGGCTGGGAGGGGCCAGTCGGAGACCCCGACATCCGCCCTCCCCCCACCAGCCTGGGTGCCCCGAGGGGGAGGGGGCGGTGCCACCGCTCCACCTTCCCACTTCTGTTTTCCGTCTCTCTCCTGCTCCTCACCCTTCTCCTTTCCTCTCCTCTTCCCTTCCCTACTCTTCCTCTTCCTCCTTCTCTGTCTCTCTGTCTCTCCCTCTCTCTTCTTTCATGTTTTGAGGCAGGATATCTTTATGCAGTTCAGGCTGGCCTTGAATTCAGTATGTAGCCCAGGAGGCATCCCTCCTGCCTCAGCCTCCTGAGTGCTGGGATTATAGGCAGTAGCATCCCTTCTTTTCCCTTCCGTCCCCGCCTCTTCCCCTCTGTCTCTCTCTGTCTCCTTCTGTCACCTCTCTTCCTGTCTGTCTCTCTCCCCTTCCAGCTGGCTCTTGGTCTTCTCTTCCTGTCTCTCACACCGCCTCAGCTCCTCTCCCCTGCTTCCCCTCCCCCTGCAGCGGAGTGACCCTTCCACCCTCTCCTGGCCAGGGAGACTCCTCCCCAGCCCCAGCCTCTCCTCGAGGTGCCGGGCCATCTCAGACCCTCTTCCTTGTCCACTTCAGGCTGGAGCTTTCCCAGGACCCGGAGGGCGCCAGGAATGTGGGCCAGAGGGCAGGGAGGCCCCAGCGGCCAGGCCCTGTCGAGGACCCCTGAACCCCAGACTTCTTTCCTTCCAGCCTGTGGTTCTGCCCTCACGCCACCCCCCCCTTGCTGCCCACCCTCCGAGGCCTCTGGGCCTCGGTTTCTCCTCTGCAGTTGGGCAGGGTCTCCTCTGTCCCACGCATCTTCCGGTCCCGGGGGAGTGTGTGGTCACGCTTGTTCACAGTGTGATTGATGAGCAGGAGGCGGTGTGTGTTGCAGCGGGGCCGGCCCCGAGCTCGGGACTGGGTTCTGAGCCGCCCTGTGGACAGATGCCCCCCACCACCCTGCGTTGGGCAAAGGAAGAGCCTGCACGCGGGGAATGGAAACCTGTGGGAGCCGGTGGTTACTGTGACCCTGAGACTGTGGGTTAGTGTGTGCTTGTGGGATCACACGTGTGATGCGTGTCGGAGTGTGTGTGACTTGTGTGGCTGGGACTGTCATGGAGAGTCGTGTGCGTGACCGTATCACTCCGTGTGACTGTGTGGGAGCTTGTGAAAGCATATGTCTCGGTCACACTCGTGGGACGTGTTTTGGGGTCCGACTGTGGACTCTGGAGGTCATGTGGAGTGTGTGTGGCTCTGTGGTCCCCTAACACTGTGTGACTTTCCACTTGGGGGAAAACTGTGCGACCCTGTGGGTAGCCACACAACCTGTGCATTTGCTACGTTGTCATCATCCTTTGAACCCCTCCTAGGGCCAACCTGGGGACCCATGGGATGATGGAGACATTGCCCTGCTCCTGTCCTTCTGGGCCCCATACGGGGGTCAGGTAGATCACGGGGGGTGTTTGTGATGAGCTACTAGTGAGTGTGTGAGGACAGCGTTCCCGGGGCTGTGGGACACTGACTATCCCGGGCGCGTGTGTGGGAGTCCAGAGCACTGCGCAGGCGGCTGTGCCAGCCTGTGCATGGCTGCCGCCTGGTGGGTGAGAGACCGGCTCTCTGGGTGCGGATGGCGTTGCCGCCGGTGAATGGACGTGTGACTCCGAGGAACGGTAGGGGCCGGGCTTCTGTGCCTGTGCCGCCCGGGGGCTCAGCCTGTGGGGCTGCGTGTGACCCTCGCGCGTGGCTGTGGCCCTGTGTGTGAGAGGCGGGATGGGATGGTGTGCTCTGTGGCCTGCGGGCTGAGTAGCGGTGAGAGACTGTTCACACCGGGTGGGCGTCCTCAGCCTGCGACTCCTCTCCCAGGTGACAGCAACTGTGCTGCTCGCGGCGGGGCTGGGGGGGCTGTTCCCTGCCCCCAGCTCCCCCCTCAGGCCCCGGTTCCGCCCTGGCCCCGCCCCCTCCCACCGCCCCAGGCTCCCAGGCTGCCAGCGCCTGTCCCCTCTTCCAGAGCACAGGCAAGCGCCAGAGGCAGCGGTGGCAGGAGCAGCCGGAGCAGGTGACCAGGAGCAGGACTGGGGACAGGTGAGCCCCCCCTCCTCCCGCGCCTCTGCTCTGGGCCTCTGGGTCCCTCTTCAGCTCTGGCTCCTTCTCACCCTGCACCTTCGTCTCCTGCCTCTCTGTCCCCTGTCTCCATATCTGTCTTTTGGTGTCTGTCTTTATGTCTCCATCTCGGCTGAGCCTCCAGATGGCTTCATTTCTACACTTCCACAGGTTTCTGCCCCATTCTGTCTCGTCTCTCCTTCCTTTTCCTCTCCTAGCTCTCATTTTTGTCCTTCTCTGTCCTTTGGTTTCTGGTCTCTTGCTGTGTGCCTCGCTGCCGCTCCCTCTCGGAGCCTCTATTCCTGCGTCCTGCGTCTCTGACGCTGTCTCTTTGGGGCTCTGTCCCAGGTGCCCCTGGCCTCCCCCTCTCCCTACACAGCGGCCCCGGGGAGTTGACGGGGAGTATGGGGGTTTAGAACAAAGGGTTTTCAGGCATCGGGACCCCTGCAGAGCTAAGCCCAGGGTTGAATGCCTCTCTGGTCCCTAAGTGTTTGGATGCTGGGGATTGTCACGCTGACTGTGGCCTTTATCTGACCATAGCGGAGAAAGTTTTGTAAGGTTGGGCTCCCATCTGCAACAGGAAAACCCTTTGGGCTGATCGAGTGGGAACTCAGACGGGTCTTTCAAGCTCCCCTCCCGGCGAGGTTGACAGCTTCTATTCGCTCCTCTCCTCGGTGATCGCCAGGTCTCCTGGGGTCTCTAGGTCTAGACTCTTAGTGACATTGACGCTTCTGCCCAGCGGAGCTCTAGGGCAACAACCCCCTGTGCAAACACCCTCCCTTCCACCGCCGCCGCCCCAGCAACAGTTGAGGGCGGCCCGGGCCGCTTGAGCGTCAGATCCAGGCCACACCCACCGCCGGAGGCCCCGCCCACATCAGGCTCCGCCCCGCCCCCAATCTGGAGCCAGCCGGGCCTCCATCGCACCTGTAGGAATCCCAAGGCAGGTGGGGGCTAAGGTTGGAGACGCACGGCGGAGGGCAGAGGGCCTGACTTTGCCCTGGAACCCTCCAGACCCTTCTCTGCCCTCACGATGCTGAACTCCTGGCCCCTGCGTGTGTTGCTGCTGCTGTCGCTGTGGGGACTGCCGCTCCGGAGGGCGCAGGTGAGGACCCAAAGACACGGAAGTCCACCCTTGGGGGAGGGCTTCTCAGACAGTTTTGCCCCTCCTGCTCAGACTCAAGTTTAGATGATAGTTTCCAGTCCTCCCCGACCGCTACAAATCCTCCTGAAGAGGTCCAGTCACCGTGCCCTCTTCAGCCTCCCTGAAGGGTTGCAGTCTCCTGTAGTAAATCCTTTGGCAGTTTCTAGACACCCCTTAGAGAGAGGTTTTTAGGCTACCCAAGACTGCCTGGCAAAATGAGACAGCCCCTCCAAGCCTCGGTCTAGGGTGTTTGTGGCCCTCGCGAGCTACTTGCCTGGGAGCGGGGGTCCGCCTGGGGAAGTGGTCCTCCCCTCTCTCTTCTCCTAGACAGGCTCTGGGGCACAGACGGCGGGGGAGCTGTACCAGCACTGGGAACGGTACCGCCAGGAGTGCCAGGAGACCCTGGACGCCGCGGAGCCGCCCTCAGGTTGACTCCAGGGGCTGGGGGGGTGGTGCGGGGGAGCTGGGGCCTAGGCTTGGGCTGGGGGCGGACCCAGGGTTGAGGGCGGAGTCTGGGGCGGGATTTGAAAGAGGAGAATCTGGGATGGATGTGAGCTGGGCCCGGAGTTGGCCTGAGGGCAGTAAGGGCTGGAGTGGGACCCTGATCGAAGGAGGCACCAAGAACCGGTGTAGTGGCGCACGCCTGTAATCCCAGCATTCAGGAGGCTAAGACAGGAGGATCGCCGGGAGTTCGAGGCCAGCCTGGGCTACGTAGTGAGTTCAAGGCCAGTTGGAACTACACAGGGACCCTGTCTCAAAAACAAACAAACAAAAAGTAGGAGAGTTCAGGGAAGAAACTGGAAGTGGAAAGGAGCTTGGGTTGGGAAGGTCCTCCTACGGGAAAAGAATCTGAGGCTGGGTCTTACTTGGTGGGCGGAGCCCAGGGGTAGGGATTGGAGGGTGGGCGGGGCGGTGAGGGCTGGTGGGTGGGACCTTTGGGCCTGCAGGAACATAGCCAACTCCTGGTGGGCGGGGCTAGTTCCTAGTGGGCGGGGCAAGAGCGGGGCTGACAGCAAAGAGAAGCCCGGTCCCGCTGCACAATAGATCCACCCGGCATCTGGCTCCCATGCCCACCTCCAGGCCTCGCCTGCAACGGATCCTTCGATATGTACGTCTGCTGGGACTATGCTGCCCCCAACACCACTGCCCGAGCGTCGTGCCCCTGGTACCTTCCCTGGTATCGGCACGGTGAGGCCCTCCCGGGGCTCTCTTTGCCCGGGCACCACCGCTTTGCAGCTCGCACGCACCCTCCTGCTTCTGTCCCTTGCCCTTCTCTGTCCTCTCCCCCTCTGCCAGGCTCCGTGTCCCCCTCGTATCTCTCAGAACTGTGGGATTCTTACCTTCTCTCCTTTTTTTTTTTGAGGCATTTTATTTTTATTTTTTCTATGTTTTGTTGTCTTCCACTTGGGCTTCCTGGCCTCACTGGCTATGTAGCCTCAGGCAGTTTACTTAACTTCTTGGCGCCTCCATTTCCCCACATATAAAATGGAGCTAATGACTGTACCACTTTCATGGGCTCGTACCCTCTCTCTCTGTGCCTCTGACTCCCTCCCTTGTCCTCCCTCAGTGGCTGCGGGCTTCGTCCTCCGCCAGTGTGGGAGTGATGGGCAGTGGGGACCTTGGAGAGACCATATTCAGTGTGAAGACCCGGAGAAGAATGGGGTGTTTCAGGTAGTAAGAGGGCAGGGGTTTGGGTTAGGGTGTCTAGGGAGAGGTGAAAGCACTGGAAGCCCCTTGTACTGCTCAGAGCTCGGGGTTCCAAGTAATAGAAACCCGACTGGGACCTACTTACAGGAGGAAAAGAGAAACATTGGCTTCGAATTGAAAAACCCAGTGTAAGCCAACATCAGGTACAGGGAGATCTAGGTGCTCAAATGACCTGGTGAGGAATGTGTGTCTCTCACTGTATCATCCCCGTTTTCCTCTGTGCTGGCCTCATCTTTTCTGTGGGGTGGAAAAGGTGATCCCCATTAACACCAGGCTCATATCCTACCAGCCAGCAACACTGGGAGGACCCAGCTTTCTTCTCAGTTGTCCTGGCTTAGGTCCTGTGGCCTGCCTAGATGTATATGTGTGTGGGTGGGGTGTGTGTTAGCCAGAATGCTCACACTGGCTGGTAAAATCCCAGCCCTGGAGCTGGGATCAACTTTCCTCCTGGATCAACTTTCCCAGGAGGAAAATAGAGGCACTGGGAAGCCCCTCCCTGGGCCCGCAGGAAGGGCCTCATTCCACACTGTCCTTGCCCCCACAGGACCAGAGGCTGATCTTGGAGCGGCTACAGGTCGTGTACACCATTGGCTACGCCCTGTCCCTGGCCACACTGCTGCTAGCCCTGCTCATCTTGAGCTTCTTCAGGTGGGACCCCCAGCCCTGAGTGGCGGTGGCAGAGACGTGAACCTCAGGCAGTGCGTTTCACCAGCTCCAAGCATCCCCGGACGGTTCTAGAAGGGTTGGTTAAAGGAACTTCGTGTGGTCGAGGGCAGCTCTGCAGGGGTCTCCAGGTCACCTCTCGAATTCCACAGGCGGCTCCACTGCACACGTAATTACATCCACATCAACTTGTTCACGTCCTTCACGCTGCGCGCGGCAGCCATTCTCACCCGCGACCGCCTGCTGCCTCCCCCTCGGCCCTACCCTGGGGATGAGACCCCTACCCTATGGAACAAGGTGCGCCTTCTCCTTCTGTTCCTCCGAAGGGGAATCTACCTCCCCCTCAGGAGGACCTTGTCCACTTTCACGTTTGGAGAGGAACCGTGCCAACTCAGTCTCCTCCACCGTTGAGTCCCCTCCCCCCACCTCATCTCCCTTATTGGAATTTTCCATTCTGTCTTTCTCAATCTGGATTTATGATTGGGCTTTTCCATCAGTGCGAGGTGGTGAGGGGGCCAGGATGGGAGAAATTAGCTGGGGTGGGAGGTACTACGTTGTTTACTGGAAGCGGGGGACGATTAGAGGCTGAAAGTTGGGCCGTACCACTTGTCAGTGGGGTGGGAGAGTCCATAAGCTAGCACGAAAGTTCAGTTCTTTGGAGGCAGTGTGGCAGAGGCCATATTTTGGGGTTCTGGAGGAGGGACTCTGGTGACCGAAAGGAAGGGACAACTGTTCAGGTGGTCAGAATGGGAGCGTCCATATAGGGAAAGAGAATAGAGTGAGAGAAACCAACCACAAATACCATCCACTGGGGATCTTGGCTGGGAGGGTATGTGATGACGGGAGATGGGAGTGGGACACCCTGGCCTCCCCGACTGCCCCCTGCCCCCGTCCGACCTCCCCAGGCCCTGGCCGCCTGCCGCACGACCCAGATCGTGACCCAGTACTGCGTGGGTGCCAACTACACGTGGCTGCTGGTGGAGGGCGTGTACCTGCACCGACTGCTGGTGCTCGCGGGGGGCTCGGAGGACGGCCACTTCCGCGGCTACCTGCTCCTCGGCTGGGGTGAGCCCCGAACCCGGCCCCGCCCCGCCCAGCGCTCCTCCGCGCCCCAGTGCCCAACTGGTCTACCTCAGGGGGTCTCCTTCCTCTCCAGGCTTCTGCCTCCCTACCCCGGCAGAGGAATTCCGCGGGTCGTGGGCCTGGCGGGGCCCGTGCGCGCGCTGACGGCTGCGGCGGGGTGGGGGGCGGGGGTCGGGGTCTGCACAGGGGCCCCCGCGCTTTTCGTCATTCCCTGGGTGATCGTCAGGTACCTGTACGAGAACACGCAGTGAGTCCCAGGGTATGGGGCGGGGCCTGGGAGGTGGGCGGAGCTTTGAGGGACGTGGGCGGGAATCCGTGGAAACTTGGGCTACTGCGGCTGGGGCGAACGTGGGCGGGGTCTGAAGGAACTGGGAGCAGGCAAAGCCTGAGTTCTGGGACTCCGGGAAGGGGCGGACTATTTTAAAGAATGTGGGTGGGGCTTAAGACAGGTGGGCGGGGCCTGGGATGGGCACTCTGGAGATGCCGAATATCTAGCGTTTTTACTTCTACCCTACCTCCCCCAGGTGCTGGGAGCGGAATGATGTCAAGGCTATTTGGTGGATCATACGCACTCCCATCCTATTAACCATCTTGGTACGGCCGGTTCCGCTTCCTGCAGACCATCCTCAAGGATTCCTCATTCTGGGAAGCGGGGAGCCACCTCCTGCCCCCAGAATGGGTCGTGTCTGGCTCAGCCTCTCTCTCCTCGTAGATTAATTTCCTCATCTTCATGCGCATTCTTGGCATCCTCGTGTCCAAGCTGAGGACGCGGCAGATGCGCTGTCCGGACTATCGACTGAGGTGAGGAAGGGGACCCCCGGGAGAGGGCAACGGGGTGGAAGATGCAGGCTCGAGCCGGGGGACCAATGCCGCCCTCTGTCCCCAGGCTTGCTCGCTCCACGCTCACGCTGGTGCCTCTGCTGGGCGTGCACGAGGTGGTGTTCGCTCCGGTGACCGAGGAACAGGCCCGGGGCACCCTGCGCTTCGCCAAGCTGGGCTTTGAGATCTTCCTCAGTTCCATCCAGGTGCTTGGGGCGGGGGAGGGGCCCAAGGCTTCAGCGGGGCCCGCGGGCTGCAGTACTCCCAGAGTGGGGTGTGACATGAGGGTTTGTGTCTGCATTCATTAGTGCTGAGCTGGAGCTCAGCCGGGCCGGGGAGGCAGCCGGGCCGAGGGTGGAGACTGAAGACCCCGGCAGTACTGAGAGGCAGGGACTGGAAGCACACAGCTGGGGTCAAATTCAGCTTCCGTCCCTTCCCAGGAGCTTTTCATCTCTGGATAGAGAGTAGGCTGATGGAGGTGAGATGCCTCAGGTACAGAAATAAGGAGGGCTGGGAATATAGCTCGGTGGCAAGGCCCTGCCTTGCAAGTGTGAGGTCCTGAGTTTGATTCCCAACTCAAAAAAAAATTATCAAATAGAAATAAGAAAGTGCTCAAATTTAAGCTCAAATTTTATTTTATTTTATTTTATTTGGTACTGGGAATCAAACTCAGGACCTTGCGCTTGCCAGGCAGGCACTTGTGCCACTGAGCTACATCCCCGGCCCCTTCACATTTTAAAATTCAAGCCAATGCTGCCCTTACTTGCCTTGGCTTAGTCTCTACTTTGCTTTACCTCGTTGGTAAAGGCCAGCTGGGCGTGGTGGTGCACGTCTGTCCAGCACTCAGGAGGCTGAGGCAGGAGGATCCTTGTGAGTTCAAGGCCAGCCTGAGCTACAAAGTGAGCTCAAGGCCACCCTGAACTGCATAATGAGACCCTGTCTCGGGCTGGGGATTTAGCTCAGTGGCAAAAGCGCCTGCCTGGCAAGCGCAAGGTCGTGAGTTCAGTTCCCGGTACCGGAGAAAAACCAAAAAAAAAAAAAAAAAAAAAAAGAGACCCTGTCTCAAAAAGACAAAAAAAAAAAAATAAATAAATAAAATAAAATAAAAAAAAATAAATAAAAAATTAATAAGGGCTGAGGATATAGCTTAGTGGCACAGTGTCTGCGTGGCAGTCACAAGGTCCTGTAGTTCAGTGTGAAGGTCCTGAGTTCAATTCTTGGTACAAAAAGAAAAAAATCAAAACCATTGGATGGTATAAAAAATTAATTAATTTTGGTTGTTTGGAGACAGAATCTTGCTATGTAGCCCAGGCTGGCCTCAAACTTGAGGCTATTCTGCCTTAGCCTCCCAAATGCTGGGATTACAGGTGTGTGCCTGGCCAATTTTTTAAATTTTAGTTTATTTTTTGGTGGCACTGGGGATTGAACCAAGGGCCTTTTAGATATTTATTAGTTTTTAATCTTGAGATAGGGTCTCACTATGTTGCTAAAGTGCCCAGGCTGGGCTTGAATTGCCATGCTCCTGCCTCAGCCTCCTGAGTACTGGGATTACCGGTAGGAGCCATGGTGTGCAGTACTCAATTTGGTTTTCCTCTGCTAGAAGAGGAGGGATGTGATATGAGTTTTGATATTTAAATTTATCTATTAATTTATTAATCATAAAACAAATAAATTATTTTGTTTTTTGCTGTTTTGTTTCTTTGAGGCAGGGTCTCACTGTGCAGTTCAGGCTGGCCTTGAGCTCACTTTGTAGTCCAGGATGGTCTCAGACTTGCAACAACCCTCCTGCCTCAGCCTCCCGAGTGCTGGGATTACAGGCGTGCACCACCACACCTTATTTACTTATTTTGATGTCAGGGACTGAATGCAAGGTCTTGAGCATGGCTGTCATTGTGCTACAGCCCAGCTCTATTTTGTCTTTATTTAAATTCAGAGATAGAACGCATATAAATATTAACCATTTATAATGAATGATATATAAGAATGAGTTACAATAAGATTAAGAAAAAGGTTAAGGCTGGGCATGGTGACACACATCTGTAATCTCAGTGCTTGGGAGGCTGAGGCAGGGGGATCACTGTGAGTTTGAGGCCAGCCTGGGATACATAGGAAAACCCTGTCTCCAAAATGAGTGAGTAAGCAACTAAATAAATGATTAAGGCCATATGCCAGGCACTCCAGCTTCTTGCAATATTAATAGTACCTTAATTCTTTTTTTTTTAATAGTACCTTAATTCTCACAGCTACCACTGGATGGCAAAATAGATGGCCCATTTTCCAGATGGAGAAACTAAGGCACAGAGATACTAAGCAGCTTGCCCAGAGAGTACAAGTAAGGAAGGCTTCTTCACACTGGGGCTGCCTTCCACCAGGTCCCTGCAGCACAGCAATCTGGCCAGGGCAAGGCTAGAGTTCAGAGCTAGTGACCAGGTGACCACAACAGTCTAGGACTAGGGTGGCGACATCCAACGCGCTCTGGGGCTGGGCAAGGGGTTGGAGCACATTAAGGGGTGGTTACGACGCCATCCCTGCGGGGCAGTCTCACCCCCACTCCTCCTGCCGCAGGGGTTCCTGGTCAGCGTCCTCTACTGCTTCATCAACAAGGAGGTAGGAGAGCCCCGCCTGCGCCATCTGGCGGCCGCGCGGGGAGCGGCGCCGCCACTGAGCACCCTGAGGTTGCAGGTGCAGACAGAGATCCGCCGGGGCTGGAACCACTGTCGCCTGCGCCACAGCCTCCGTGCCGCGCCCCGCCAGCGCCCACAGCAGGTCTCCCGGGGCTCTGGCCCCGTCGAGGTTCCCATCCACCACGCCTTGTCCTCAAAGTCGCTTCCAGGGCCTGGAGATGAGGTCTTGGAAAGTTACTGCTAGGTAATAGGAATGTTGTGTCTGTTCCGTATTTATTGAGAGCCGTGCCAGGGCCGGTGTGGGGGACGCTGGGGAAATGGGGGAGAAAGAAACAGAAGACAAGGGCCTGCCCTTCTGGGGATGACGGCTGTGCAGGGGGAACTGACGGTGGACACAGAACCCAAGGTACGCACGTACTGCGCAGCCGTTGTGAGAGTGCAGATGGTCCCGGGGTTGCGGGCCATCTCTGAGGAGGGACATGGAAGCCACGCCTGAAAGAGGTGAAGGAGACAACCGAGCAGAGAACTGGAGGACAAGACTCTGGGCAGAAGGCGAGGCATGTGAGAAGGGCCTGGGGCAAGAAGGCGCCCGCCTGGGGTCTTTGCGCTGGAGTGGAGGGAGTCAGAGCCCGCAGATCTGGAGAAGCGGCAGCGGCGCACGGGCATGAGGAGCTTCGCAGGGGCGGCTCATGGGCCAGCGTTTCCCACACGCCTTTGCTTCTGCTGTAGGGACTCTCAGGGCAGGGGTGGAAGCCAGGAGTCCGAGAGGAGGGAACTGAGGGACGATGGCGGCCGAGGAGGGTGAGGAGTGATGGAGACCACTACAAAGCGACCCTGAGCAGGACTTAGTATTAACCAGCTGGCTTCCCGTGTTGACTTGGGAGTTGTCCGAAGCTTAGGCACCTTGTCTGGGGATGGGCAGCGGACTCACAGTAAGTGAACTTCTGTGGTCACTGGTTCCCGCTGAGGCCTGTGTTGGCCTGTGAAGCTGTGACTCCTCAAAGGATGAGACAAGGCCACAGCTGAGGACGTCTGGCTCCGACACCAATTAACTTAAAGGAGACTGTAGCTGCTATGAAGGCCTTCCTGGAGATCATATAGTTCTCCTAAATTAACATAATGTTTACCTGGAAAAGTTCTGCCCAGATTCCCACATTTTCTTGAGTATCCCCCTCCTTTGTTTGAAAACCAAATAAATATGGGCTGCCCAGAGAAGTCTTGGTCTAAATTCAGAGAATATCAAAACTGTAAGAGAGTGAGACCCTCCTGGAGCCCCGAAATCCTTTCAGTTGTCTCATTTATTTAAGCCTTCTCCATCCACTCGCTTGGGAGATTGCGGGCCTGATTAGCCCTCAGTAACTAAGGGTTATTTAACCCCATAGAGGAGCAGTTGGGTTCTGGAGCCCAGTGCTCTGAGCCAGACCTGCAAGGGGAGCACAGGAGAGACAGGGCAAGGGGCGCCCCTGTTTGGGCTGAAGAGGAAGCTAGGGAGACCTGTTCGGGGCTCGAGATGAGCACTTTGCGTGTGAGGCTGGCCTCGCTGTAGGGTACTCCAGGGGGTGAGGGTGAGGTTCTGGAGCCCACGGCAGATGAAGCCCGACACAGAACACGAGAGATCTGGGATGCAGAGCGTTCGGGATGGAGATACAGACGGGCAGTCCCAGGCCAGCCTCAGAGCTGCACCCTCCTGTCCAGAGCAGCCGGGCCCAGCGCTGGCTGGGGAAGGATGCAGGCCCCATCCTGGTCCCCGGGAACTGGGAGAAGTAGGGGAGAAGCCCAAGGCCTCGTCCTGAGTGGACCTCCATCCACATGAAGACCCCACTCCTGAGCCTGCCCCCAGATGGGTGGGTGGGCCCCGCAGCTAAACTCCAAGCCTTCTCAAGCTTATGCCCCCGCGATACTCCAGACCGCACCCCTTTGTGTCCAAAACACTGGGGTGGGGGCCTAAGGGTAGGGTCCAGGCAAATGAAGCAGGAGAAACTACAGCTTCCCAGATGTCTGCGGTGGGAGAAGATCCGTGGCCAGGCCACAGAGGGAAATAACAGGAGGGCCGCACAGCTGGTGGGAGCGGGCGGTGGCCTTGCTCCCCCTCAGCCACATCACAAGGAAACGTGGACCCCGTGCTGCTGGTGCCCCTGCCCGGGAGTCCCCGGTGGAGAATATTCCGTGTAATCTCACACTGGACTGCGTAAGACAGATTCAAATGATGTATGTGTGTGCGCCTCATTTTTGGAGAGCTGCTTCTCTGGAAAGGCCACTGGGGACAGTGAAGCCCTGGGCACAGCCTGGCTCCTATTAGTCTGACTACTTCGTGGCTGTCACCTGGGGAAATTCCCCGCCTCTCTGTACCTCAGTTCCACTTGCGGAAGGCGGGTACAATGATGGCACCCACATCCTAGGGCTGCCCGAGCCCACTGACACGCGGTTGTAGGTCAGTGCGTGGCCATGTGCTGCTCCTGCGACGTCTGCTTTGGTTTCCAGCCCCTGAAGCGGGAAGTGATTTGGGGCAGGCGGGGCAGAGATGAGGAACTCGAGACTGATGCCAAGGGGGTCCCCAGGGCTACAGCGCTGATGCCTGTCTGCAAGGCAGGCAAACCTGCGCACTTCCTCGTAGTTCAAGTCAACAACTACGGGCTGCAGGGCAGGGATCCCGGAACTAGGACTCCAAGGTTTACGCTGGTCTTGTCTCACACAAGAACCCGAGTAGGGGCAGCTCCGCACACACCTTTGCCCTAGTTAAAGATTAGGGTGTTGAGGACCAGTCTGCCCCCCGGCCCCCCGCCTGCCAGTGCAGGCTGCTGGCTCCCTAGCTTAGATGCAGCTTCACCATTCTCTAATGGGGTGACGCCAGGGGAGTTATTTTTCTTGTCCTCATGAGGCCTTAGCTGTCTCATCTGTAAAACAGGATGACTCCAGTATCTACCCTGTGGAAATTGTTCCAGTTAGATGTAGACCACTCAGTAAACACTACCTTGATCAGCCTTGTGTGTCAGGCCTTCTGTCTGCTGCTGCTGGGCCCCCAGCTCCACTCAAGGGCTCCAGGGGAACTCCGCTGTGTTTTCCACAACTCAAGTGCAACTGGAAGCCTGGCGGGTTTCCAGCAGTTAGGAGGCTGAGGCAGGAGGATCACCCTAAGTTCCAGGCCAGCCTGGATTACATAGCGAGCTGAAGGCCAGCCCAAACTACAGAGTGAAAAAGCCGGGCGTGGTGGCGCACACCTGTAATCCCAGCACTCGGGAGGCTGAGGCAGGATTACTGTGAGTTTGAGGCCAGCCTGGGCTACAAAGTGAGCTCAAGGCAAGCCTGAACTGCATAGTGAGACCCTGTCTCAAAAAAAACAAAACAAAACAAAACAAAACAAAACAAAACAAAACATAGCGAGACTGTCTCAAAAAAAACAAAAACAAAAACAAAAAAAACCCCTGCAATTGTAAGCCAGTTGTGTGGGACACACCTGTAATTCCACCATTCTGGGAGGCTGAGGCAGGAGGACTCCAAGTTCAACGAGCTTGGGATATACCTCAGCTGAGCAACTGATTTAGCAAGAACCAATCTCAAAAAAAAAACAAAAAACAAAAAACAAAAAAACCTGGGGATATAACTCAAGACTAAGGCACTGGGTAACATCCCAAGTACACGCGCAGGCGCGCGCATGCACACACACACAGCCATTTAATCCTGACAGTAGGCCTGTAAGCTCCAGTATCCACCTGCAGTCTGGCCCTACCTGGAGGACAGAAACAGGCAGAAGGAGCACATCGTATGTCCGGGGGAGGGGGACGACAATGATGACAAGGTCAGAACCCACCTTAAGCTTTCCACAACACATAGCACCTTCCCCTCCCCCGTCTCCTTGAGGCTCAGAGGTGAAACCAGCCCAGCAGCAGGATGGGTTTGAATTAAGCATTATCATTTCCTGGATCAATCAAGTGATACCACCCCTCTGTGCCTCAGTTCCCTCTTCTGAAGGAAAACACAGGCGTAAGTAACAGTGGCTGCTGGGCTTGGTACACACACAAGAGCCCGAGTAGGGGCAGCCTCCGCACACATCTTTGCCCTGAGTTAGATTAGGGTGTTAAGTGCCAGTATTTGAGAGGCTGACGCAAAAGGATGCCAAGTTCCAGCCCAGCCTGGGCAATTTAGCAAGGACCTGTCTCAAAGTTAAAAAATAAAAACGAGGGCTGGGGATACAGCTCAGTGGCACAAGCGCCTGTCTGGCAAGCATAAGGTCCTGAGTTTGATCCCCGGTACTAAAAAACAAACAAACCAAAAAA